CCTCCCCCCCCCGCCCACCCTTTTCTACTACTACTTTCCGTTTTCGCTCTTTCCTAAGGAATGAACGAAAAAAAAAAGAAAAAGAAGAAGAAGAAGAAGAAGAAGAAGAAGAAGAAGAATAGTGATAAACAGAGGCCATAGACTGTCCTTCGTGCATGCTTCAACAGAAATTTCCACGCTCAACCGCACGCACTGAGCTCAGAAGAAACGCGCTCATTGCCCTACGCACGTTTCAGCCAGGAAGCGCACCTGGCACTCATCAGGGGCCTTCTCCTCGGATCCGCCTTACGGCACCCACCTACTTGTCCTGCCATGAACGAGATTAGTCCCTTCTGTTTTTTTTTGACGCGATTACAGTCCGTACTCATTTCTGGATTTAAATCTGCACAATAGAAAAAGGGAGAGGGAAAACGGCAAAACAAACGGAGCGAAAGCGTATAGCAAAGGTGATCATCAATACTTCTATAAGTCTTTTTTTTTGTGATAATTTTTGAAATGGTGAGCATTTGATGACAGTAATAAGTACTAATAACAGTTTATTTTTACTGCTAATTTGTGCTAAATGTTGTTGTCATTTATATTTACAATCAAATACGTATTATAATTAATTAAATATTATCATTGATTGTAATCTGTTAAGTTAACGATTGAAATAAGTAGCTTTAAAAAAATGAAAAACTGGACCATTTCTCTATTTCTGCATGCCATCCTTGCGCAGTGTCCATGCTAATCTTCCTTCTCTGTGTCGTTCCAGTTTTAACGGAAATAATGAGCATTGATTACAAAGAATAATAAGTTAGAAATAACTGTGTTTTTTTTTCTCTTACTAAATTTGGTTACAATCTAGGCTACCAGCCGGGCCGCCCGGGTCCCGGTGGCCAGCCCGTGCAAGGACCAGGGAAGGTCCCAGAAAAAAAAATAAAAAAAATTCAGAAAAATCCGAAAAAAAAACTATGTTATGCAGAAAAAAAAACTGAACAACTTTTGCCTCAGGGTTGAATCGAAATTCTGCACCAAATTTAGAAAAAAAAATTGAAAAATATGTTTTTTATTTTTATTTTTTAATTGTTTTTGGCCCGGCCGGGCAAGTGACCCCGGGCCACTCTGGTAGCCTAGGTTGCAATTAAATATTCGTATCATTTATATCATTTATATCATTTATATCAGTTATATCATTTACTTTATTTTTGGTACAAGCCTACAATGTGAAAACAAAAGTGTACTGCGATCAGTAACCCTGTCAATAGGTATATGGATAGTCAGGTGCACGATCGGTATCTAGAGATGACTGGCGTCTAGGTTCATTCCGACTGAGGCTTGGTGGACAGCATTTTTTTTTTTTTTTTTTTTTTTTGAGATGTGGACAGCAATTTCGAGGGCGTAGTTTTTTAAATCAGCCCTTCCTCCTAACAGTTATTTTTTGCAATTAATACCTCTATTACTATATCTCCTCCTAGTCCTCCTTCTCCGCCGCCGCCGCCGCCTCTAGCCTCCGTCTATCCTCTCTCAGTAAGTGGTCGACGTGGCACTTTGCCGTCCGTTTTTTTTTTTTTTTTTTTTTTTTTTTTAAGCTGTCCGTGTTATTTTTGTTTGTTTTTTTTGCCCCTTCCGTTTAGGGAACAAGCGCGTGCGTAAATGAGATTTGATTGGTGGACAGGATTTGTTTCTTCAACCCCGTTGGAATGCACCTGGACACAAAGACCGTCAGGAGAGTGATGTGCACCTGGACCTGAGGTCGTCCAGATGCATTCTGACAGAGGCACTTGCGCGTGAGAGCTTTTCGTCGAGCCCTCCTCCCTGTCATCTCCCTTTTCTTCCCCTTCTTCGTGCCCTTCGATCTTTATAAAAACTGATGCACTAGGAATCTAGCCTTCGATCTTTTTCTTTTTCTTTTTCTTTTTCTTTTTCTTTTTCCTTTTCTTTTTCTTCTTTTTCTTTTCTTTTCTTTGTTTTAGCCTTCGATCTTACAGAAACTGATGCACTAGTAATCTACGGCTGTGAAAAATGGATCATGTTTCCCCTGAACTCCAGTGTACATCGCAAGTGCAAATGCCTCTGTCAGACATTGAGTGGCCGTAGATTTCTAGTACATTAACGGCTGACATGAGTCAGTGAGGTGCGAGAGCTTCTAGTGCAACGGTATAAAGCCCTTACACTTGTGACACACGGGAATGGGGGCAGCCAGCCCTCAACCTGTCATCCACGTGGCTGGCCTTGTACGTAAGAGGTGATGAACACGTGGGGCTTTCCTTCCTTCTTTCCTTTTTTCTTTTTGTCTTTTTCCGCCTTGCGCTGAGATACACAGTGCAGCCAGAGCTCAACCTGTCATCCACGTGGCTGGCCTTGTACGTAAGAGGTTATGAACAGGTGGAGCTTTCCTTACCTCTTCCCCCTCCCCCTTTTTTCCTTTTCCTTTTTTCTTTCCCCTTTTTTGCGCTCTATATATTGTCACAGCCCCTCGTTTGTTGTCCTCTTCTCTCTCTCTGCCTACGGTTTACCGGGCAGTTCTGTTTGTGACGATATATACTACGACTTCGCTAGCTTCCTGCTACGG